CGGAAGGCCACTCCGCTCGCGCGGCCGCCGCACCCCTCCCTCCCACTCCCTCCCGCCCGCCCGGAGGAGGCGGTGGCGGAAGGATCTGCCGCTTGATTTATCATCAAAGTTTTGCTCAGGCTGGGATTTTTAAAGCGGTACCCGCGACTTCCCCCTCCCGGGAGCGCAGGTAGGGGGCGGGATGGGGTGGAAGACGCCACCCCAGGGACCCGGTTCCGGCAAAGCATAACGCAACTGGCTTCGGAAACAAATACCATGCAGCGGGATAAGAAAGAAAACTAATCCACCTGCCTCAAGACCCGGCGCGCCGAGAGGGACTCCTCAACTTTGCTAGCAGGGCGGTGCCTGGGTCAGGGGGCAGATGAGGGTGGAGGTGACGGCGAGATGTGGTAGGAACCAGGGCTAGGGCGCAGGAGACCTGGTTTTAGCCCTGCCGCAGCCTTTGGCTTTCTATGTGATCGTGTCCGGGTTTCTCTACTCTTGTCTGACCGTCATGGTCTTCATCTGGGAAATGGGAATCATAGCTACCTCCAGGGGTCGTGGTGGGGATTTATGAAATCTGGTGTGTGAAGTCCTTAGCACAATGCCGCCCTCGTGGCAGGAACTCCATAGTTATTACTGTCGTTTCCCTCTTTGGGACTCAGTTTTTGTATCTGCGTAGTGGGAGCGAGGCAGGCCAGTTTCTGGGGCTCCTTCTAATTTAGAGATGCCGGCCCCAGCACAGTGGATTGGATCGCCCCCTTCTGGACTGTAGGGCTCCCTTCCTCGGACCAATGGGCCTAAATAGAATGTTGGGGAGGGGCGGGAGTGAGCAGGCAGGTAACAAAGCCACTTTCGTTTCCCAAGAGCAGGAATCCAACTAGATTCTCTGATTCCTTCCCTGACCGTTTTACTGGGGCTGTTGGGACAGACCGCCAGTACAGACACAAGAGCGGCATAAGGGCAGGTGCGGAGAGGGAGGGGACACAGGTAGTTGTTGGGTTAAACTCATAAAGGAGAAAGGCAGATGGGCAGGGAGAAGTGGGCAAGCAAAGCGTGTTCCCAGTGTGAATGTGCACGCGCGCGCATGTGTGTATTTGCCAGTATGTCTGCAGGCGGGCAGGCAGGCAAGAGTTGTGCAGAGTGTTTGAGCCTGGATGCCAGCTGGCAGGGTGTGAGCCCACCAGCGTAGTGTCTGATATGTGTGCATAGTGGACATAAATGTGAGTGCTTATGAGTGAGGAGGGGGATCTGAGAGGGTGTCTGGAGATGTGGGAGGGTAGGAGTATGAGTGTGAGAAAGCAATGAGTGTGGCGCTGCGTGTGCCCGTGGCTGTGAATGACTGTGGCCCCATTTAAAAGACGAGGAAGCACATTAAATTAGAGAAGTAGCTTCTCTGAAGTCCCAGAGTGAATCTGGGACAAAGTCCCTGACTCCTGGGCAAGGTCTTTCCTTCTCAACTCTTGCCATTTTCCAGGCCTCGTTTCTGACACGGCCCTGTCCGCGGCGGTTTCAGCATCACGGAGGAGGACAGCGTCAGCCCTGACAACCAGCCTTGCGGCACACTGAGGGAGCCTCGGCTGACTCTTAGATGCGAGGATCCAGCACCGTGGACGGAGCTTTCGATTTCCTCACTCACTCCCTCTGAATGGCTGTCAGCACTGCAGATGGCCCACTCCTCACTCCAGATCACACGTAGATCCTATGAACAGCATTGTGGACAGCACCTCGATTTTGAGAATGGAGTTAGAGTCCGAGGGACAGCCCTCGCCCCTCTGTTGTTACTCTATCCTCGCACTCCCCTTTCCAATATTATGGCAAGCAGCACATCGGATGGGGCCTGTAGACACCAGCAACAATCCAGTTCATTCAAACCTGGTCAGCCTCTGAAGTATCGCACATTTACAACTACTGTGTTTCAACACAACTGACAGACCCCGCAGGACCGGCGGCGCCGCGCTGCTTCAGCACCACGGACAGACCCCCGCCGTCCTCCCAGCTCCTTCAGCCTACATTCACGGGAGAAAGCAGCAGGTTTTGTTTGTTTGTTTATTTGCTTGTTTGTTCGTTTGTTTTGCCTTATTAACTCACTTCTCACTTCCTTCTCTCACAGAGGTTGTATTTAGGCTATCTGAGGATGGCCAGGAGTCTTGAACTCTACAAAAGCGTTTTCTCATTCATTAATTCACTTGAGCCTTGCTCCCAATGAAATGGGCTCCGTTTCCTCCATTATAAAGAAGAAGAAACAGAACCTTCAAGACTGAAACCCAGGACTCCTTCATTCCCAGTCTGCAGACTCTCCAGGAGAATGTAATGGCAGAACTGGGCTTTCTCCTCTTAAACCACATGTTGGAGGGAGGGGCACAGGCAAGAGGACAAGGAGAGAGAAGAGATTAGGAGAAGAGAAAACAAGAGACTCTGCTTGGGGGCTGCAGAAGAAGGAGGTCAGTGTGGGACAGCAGCACATTGCTGCTCTGCCACTAACCCACCGGCTGACCTTCAGGAGTCCTTTCTCTTCAGAGTCTGGGACAGCATTAAACCCAGTAACCTCTAAGGTTCCTTCAAGGACAGACCTCCAGGGATTTTATGACTTTAAAAAGGCTCATGCTATAATGGCTCTGCTCAAAACCTTCCACTGGCCTTGTGTATTAGAGAAATTCTGACTTCTCTAGTTCGCAGTCAAGGTCCCAGCCTCACCTCCTGAACGTACTTTCCGCTCCAGGCCCAACTCCCTTCATGTTCTCTCTCTGAACATGCCCTCACTTCCATATGTCCTTATCTTCCCCAGCACTTCCCCTCTGCTTGCATGCACGCCGTCCCCCTCTATCTAGCTGAGTCCCCATTGGCTATGGTCCAACCTGAGTCCTTCACAGAAAGAAATGCCTGCTGCCTTCTCCCAGTCCCTGAGCCTCTGTTGGCCCATCACTGTCTACCCAGCACTGTGCAAAGAACTTTAATTATCCCACTTAAACCTCAGAACAACCAGGCTATATCACATAGAATAGTGTAGTTATAAGTGTGGACTCTAGTTTTGAATCCTGCCACTTGCTAGCTGTGTGACCTTAGACAAGTTACTTAGCTTTTCTGTGTCTGAATTTTTCTCATCTGTAAAATAGAGATAGTAATACCTCCGTCACAAGATTATTGTGAGGATTAAATGACTCGTTACATGGAAAGTACCTAGCCCTTAGTAAATATATGATACATGGTGGCTATTATTATTATCAGTCTTATTATTATTTATAGATAAAGAAACAGATGTCAGAGAAGTTAAGTATCTTGCCCGATATCACACAGCAAGACAGTTGTAGAGCTGTGATATGTTTGATTACAGAGCCCGTGTTCTTAAGCATAATACCTAAGCACATCTACTTAAACCTACCCTCTCTGCAGCTTAGAAAATTAAGATCCAGAGAGGATGAGTAAATTTCTCAGAGTTACATAGCCAACCATGACAGAACTAGATCCAGGTCCTCTGTGTCCCAGCTCAGGGCTCTCCCACTATACATATTGTCCCATTTATATTTCCTATAGCACCTAAATTACACTTTACAATTTGTAAACCACATTCACATCCATGATCCAACGCAAGTTGCACAATTAGGCGAGGCAGAGGCTGGATGTGAAAGGATGAAGCCTCAGCCCATATTCCTCCCCCGTGTAGTTCTGTCTCTTTTCTGCTTCACTGATCCAAGTGCCAAGTGCTGGCATTGTGGAAGCTGGGAACCTAGTGGAGGCAGGAGGTAAACAAAGACTATCCCAGGAAACAGTCTTTTGGAATTCACCAGAGTCGGTAACTCTTGTCACTCATTTCACTTGGGAAATGCTCCAGGAGATAGTAAGCTTCCCATCCCTGGAGGCAATTAAACAAGCATCTAGTGGTCACATGGATGTCAGGAGGCAAATATCACTGCTATTTCCACTACATGACTCAGAAGGTAAACATCGTGTCAAGTATTTCAGTCAGGAAAGATGATTTTTTTAAAGTTCCCCACACACACCACACAGGGAATCTTGTGCTGTCCTCTACCTCGGACTCAAACTCCCTGGAGAGTCTCTCCCCCTCCTCCCCTTGACTCAGGGAGGCCACCCTCCCTCCCCTTTTCGAAAAGTGTCACTTGAGCACCATGGCTCTGTCAGTGGTAACAGCCATAAGATTTGTCCTTTTAATCCAGAATCAATAACAAATTTCATTTAAAAATAAATTAAACCAGGCATTGGAAATCATTCACCGTGTGGGCCAGGGCCCTATATAGCGCCGTCTAAATGGCTTCCTTTTGCTCATCTATCAATGCCAAGAGGAGAGAAATACCTAAGCTGCCTGATTCATGAAGAAACTACTTAAATGTATCAGCCCCTAACAATGAGCAATGTAAGCCCAGAGTTGCACCTTTTAACACACCAATAACATGGGGAACACAGCTTCATAGAAGCTTATCAGAGACCCCTTGGTCACTGGCTTCGAAGGAGCCCATTTATAAGGGGGAACAATGGCTTCAGTATGTAGCCGCCTAATTTCCAGAATGCATTACTGAGCTCAGAGGAGCAATGGAATCCTATTAAACTCTTATCTGCCGTAGGAGGGCATGAAACCGGCAAAGAAAGCCAGACTTGGCATAGACATGCCCAGAAAGCACCAGGGCTGACCCTGGGAGATGGGCGAACAATCCCAAGGAGGTGGGTAGTAGGCAAGGCCCCGGATGTGTAAAAATATGTGTGTTAATAGAGCTTCGGTTTCTAGTGATTACGTTTACATCAGTGAATAAAACTCGGCAATAAAACATTGGAGCTGTG